CTTTTCTTTTCTTTTCTTTTTCATTATCTTGTTTTTATGAGACATGTTTTCTCAACAAATTAAAGGCTTAAAGCTAACCAATGACTGTAGTGATTATATGCAAGGAAACATTTATTTATTTATTTAAAGCTTTTATATGCCATCCAATCCCAAAGGACTCTGGGCGGCTTACAAACAGAAATATAAAAAACATAAAAACAATACAATTTAAAACAACAGTCATCCCTCATAAATTCATTCTAGTTGGGGCCGGACCTCAACAGTGAGGTCAGCAGCCCCAGGCCTGCCGGAACAGCCAAGTTTTTACTGCTTTCCTGAAGGCCATCAGAGTGGGTATGGTCCGGATTTCCGGGGGGAGCTGGTTCCAAAGAGTCGGAGCAGCCACCGAGGAGGCTCTCCTCTGAGGGCCCGCCAGCCGACATTGCTTGGCCGATGGCACCTGAAGGAGGCCCAATCTATGGGATCTTACTGGTCGCTGGGAGGTATGTGTCAGCAGGCGGTCTCGAAGGTAAAATGTTGGCAGGAATCCACCCCTGATGTGGATGTTATAACACATCTACATGGAAACTTTAAAGAAGGTGTGGCCAACTTTGGCCCCTTTAAGACCTGTGGACTTCAGCCCCGGTCATGGGGAATTCTCAGAGCTGAAGTCCACAAGTCTTAAAGTGGCCAAGGTTGGATACCTCTGCTTTAAAAGGTAATAGTCATAGTAATCAAAAGAAATTAGCATTGACTAATTTCAAATCACTTGTGGTCAAATGAGTGGCTATATAAATTTGATTAACAAACACATGCAATATCAAATAAATCAAACATGAACAACATCACCTGTGTTATCTGCCCAGCAGTCTACTTCTCACTGGATTTTCCTTCAGTGCTTAGCAGCAAAATGTAGATACATACCAGGGCTGGGATTCAGCTGGTTTGGACTGATTCAAGTGAACCGGATGTTAATTTTAATCTGGTTTGCCAAACTGGTAGTTGAAAGGAGTGGCTGGCCCTGCCCACCCCTCCCCTCCCAGGAGTCTCCACATGGCCCATTTTGAATGCTAGGAAAGTGCAGGGCCCATGCGGAGGCTCTGGGAGGGCAAAAAAAATGGGCCTACTGGAAGTACCAGAACTACCAGAAGTCTGGAAACTGGCCCGTTTCTGGCCTCCAGAGGGCCTCTGGAGCCCGGGGAAGACTGTTTTTGCCCTCCCAGAGGTTAGAGAAAAGCCCACGGAGCCCCAGAAAATTATAAGTGGCGTGTAGGAAACGGCAATCCATTCTACACTCATTGGCCAATCCATCGGAAAGTCAACTAAGCTCAGTAAGACACCACTGGATCTCCTGAGTTTGCACCTGGTTGAATTCCAGGGATCACTGGTTGTGGTGGGACAACAATAATTATTTTCATAAATTTGAAGGGTCTCTGGGATTGAAGACCAAATAGAAGACCATTTTTTTCTGGAAAGAAGCCTTCTGTACAGTATCCTTTCAGTCTGTACTACATAAGGTTGATGTACATAAGGAAGTAAAAGAATTCTGCCATGAAATTGATGGGAAGGGAACATACAAAGAGCCATTTGAAAGACAATTCTTGGTTACCATTGAGAATATTCCTGAAAGTCGCATGCAAAGAGCTGGAGTTACATGTAAAAGAAATATTTATGCTGGGGGAATTGGGGAATAAAAGCAAATTGTAAGATTATTTGCAATTAAAGTGGGGTCTAATTTTACATTTAAAAATAGGTTTCAGGGCAATTCATATTAATAGTTACATGAATTAGGGGAAGATGCTTAGAAAGCTTCTATAGATGTTTACTGCAACGATAAATTGTTGCTAATTTTTCTATAAATTCCTATAAATTTCCTAAAGTCTCTAAAGGCAAAACATATGACCACAATTCTGTCCTACTAGTCTGAAACCTTGATTAACCTTCTAAACACAAAGCAGACTAGGATTGGATCTGGTGTAACAACAGTACTACTGTCTATAACCTCAGGATCTTCAAATACAAATGTAACAGATTAACAGAGTTAGAAGGGCCCTAGCAGGTCATCTAGTCCAACCTCCTGCTCAAGCGGAGATCCTACACCATTTCTTTTTTTTTTTAAAAAAATTTTTTTTATTTCCATTCCATTCTATACAATCACGTTTACTGTGC